TGTGTTGAATAGGCATGGTGACAGACGGCATCCTTTTCTTGTGCCACTTTTCAAAGGGCATGCTTTTATATTTTGCCCGTTCAGTATGATATTGACTGTGGACTTGTCACATATGGTTCATATTATTTTGAGGCACATTCCTTCAATATCTGGTTTATTGAGTTTTTAAAATGAAGTGGTGTTGAATTTTATCAAAAGCCTTTTCTGCAGCTATGAAGATGATTATGTGGTTTTTGTCTTTAGTTATGTTAATGTGATGAATCACATTTTTAATCTGTGTATGTTGAGTCAACCTTGCATCCCAGGGATAGCACCTACTTAGCTGGGGTAAGCCACCATTGTTTCTGTGTTTCATCCTTTATCAGAACGTTGTTGTGTGTCTCATAACTGTACATTAAATGTAAATGGCTTAAATTTTCACATTAAAAGGAAGATTTGCAGAATGAATTTAGAAAAATCTAGGACCCAACTATATGTTCTGAACTAGAAACTCACTTTAGGTGAGGACATAAATAATGTGAACATGAAAGACAGAAATAGGTATTGTATGAAAGTAGTAACCAACAAAGAACTGTGATAGCTATACTAGGATCAGACAAAATACAATTTAGTCAAAAATTCTGACGAGATAATCAAGACATAGCACACAGGCATACATTATAGATATTAAATGTTGGGTTCCAGACCACCAACATAAAAAATAGCACAGAATCTGAATTACATAAACTTTTTTGTTTCATCTGCATATAAAATTATGTTTACACTATTCTGTAATACATTAGGTGAGCAATAGTATCTAAAGAAACAATGTACATACCTTAATTAAAAAAAAAGTTGTGACAAAATGCTAACAATCATCTGAACCTTCAGCAGGCTGTAATCTGAACTCCAGTTCAGACCTTTTTCCAATAATTCAGACTGGAATAACAAATTATCTGTTCACCACCTCCTCTTGAGGGTTTAATGGACATTTCAAGCTCAGGATGCCCCAGAAAAAAATTTCTTTTAATCTCCATGCAATTCAGCTCCACCTTAAATTTTCACAGTCTCAATAATTCCATTCTTTCCATCATAAAGAACCAAATTTGGGGACTGAGTCTTGCCTTTTAAAATTCTCTCATAACCAGTATAAAACCTGTGAACAAGTCCTCCCATGTTCACCTTAAAAATTACCCAGAATCTGACCACTCCTCATCACCTGCTCTACAACCATCCTGTTCCAAATTACTCAACTTCGTACATTGGTTATTAAATAGCCTCCTAACTAGTTTTCCCCTTTTATCCCTTACCAACCTACATTCTACTCTCTACACAGAAGCTCAGTTTCATCCAGTGTCCCCTTATCTGTCCTAGAGTGAAAGCAAAATCCTTGCAGTGGCCTACAGGGTTCTGCCTAAACATGGCCTTTCCTTCCTTTCTGACCTCTTTCCTAATCCTGCTGTTCCCAGATCACACGTGCTCTTCCCTTGCTGCAGGGACTATGCCCTTCAGGATCCCTCTGCCTGAAGCCTTCTCCCCTCAGCTGTCAGCAAGGCTGGCTTCCTCTGCTCCTTCAGGTCTTTTCTCAAATGTCTTTGTCTCAGTGAGGATTACCTACCTGCTTGAGCTATTTGTGATTTCAATTGTTCCTGCACTCTTTCCATACTCTACCCCTTTCCCTGCTTTTTCCCCTTCACAGTGCTTCCTATCATACAACATGGTTTTCATTCTATATAATTATTAGCTTTTTGTCTGTTTCTGTCTCCTTGAAAATGAGTTCAGTGCAGGCTTAGATTTCTGTCTGTTTTTAATGCCTACAACAGTATCTTGCACATTATAGCTACTCACTAAATATTTATTTTTGAACGAAATACACTTTCATATAATTCTTGAATGTGTTCCTTGGAGGCCATTGCAACATATTTTCTGGCACTCCTTCCACTCCTTCCAGAATGACACATGTCCTTCTGTTTCCTTGGGTGCCATGCTGTATTATAATTGCCATTTGCACTCTGTCACCTTGTGTGGGTTTTAAGCTGCTAAGGTTGTAGTGACTTGTGTGCAGCCATGCAGAGTTGATCTAGTACCTCTGCTCAGATCCTCAGTGGGTTGCAGTAAAAGCATAAGCCTAAAGCAGGATCTCCCTGAAGGCTTAGAGTGGAATAACCTGCTTCTAAGATCGGGGGGGGGAGCTGGCAGGGTTTGGTTTCTTCTGGACTGTCTGAATGAAAGCCTCAGTTTCAAGCTGACTGGTGACCAGAGGCCCCACTCAGCTCCTCTCCATGTGAGCCTCTCCTATGTTGCACCAATTTTATCAAAGTTTGAAAACTGAGAAAACAGTAGAGTTTCCTAGCACGATGGAAATTATAATTTTGTATTTCCTAATGATGGAAATAATATCACTCTTCTTTACAATAGTCAATTGTTTAGAATAAAGACACAAGTGCTAGCCACAGTTGATGAGAGGGCATTACACACATTACACAGGGCCATAAATACCAGGAGGCAGGGATCATAGGGGAACAATTTGCCATCTGCCCACTTCTTATCCAATAAACCATGAGCTTCCTGAGAGCATCTCATATCCTTGGTAGCTTTTGAAAACCTGAGGAAGTAAAAATAGTGCCAGGAAACCATGGACAAATACCTTTCCAGTTACAAAGGGAAGATGGACTCTGAAAAGTGTTAGGTACAAAGTATGACATCTAATCTATAAATGTTTTAGGATAATGCTTAAGGCAAGTTTTATGAGAAGAGGGGCAGGGAGCATGAAGCCCTGCTTTGGATTTACTGAGAATAAAATTGGCCTACTCTCTTTCAGTAACAAATTTCCTAGACTGCTAAATTAGGGAAGTGAGAGAGAAATAATGTCTCTTACTTGGGTCAACCATTTAGTGCAAAATACGGGTTAATATTGCAAACTTGTTAGACAAATTTTTAATCTAGTGAATGATGAACATCTGGCTATTACTGGTAATAAAGACACGCTTTTCTTGTGACTTTACTCAGAACTTAACCCCATCTCTTTAGGGTTCAACAGTTTTACCAATGTAATATAAACAGTGTGCTTACCAGATTTATAGCTGATACAATGTTGTGATAATTATAAACTACAGGGAATCAGAATCAGGCAGAATTTGGACCTTGCCCAGTCAGAGCTATGGGTTCAAAATAAGATAAATGACACTGCCATGTTTCAGGATTGCCTCTAAAATACCCATGGCACAAATACACGTTGGACAAAGCACAGCATAATAAAAACACCAAAGAAAATACCACTTAGGCATCTTATGTAGCAGAAGCTCCTTGTTCGAGGAGAGTGTAATTTCAATGATGTGATTTTTTTTTTTTTTTACCTGCTTCATAGAAGCTAAGAGAATAAAGGGCACGCAGAGAAGGTTGGTCAATCTCACCCAGGGAGATTATAGAAGAAGTCATCTTTTCTTTTTATAATATTTCATAATGTGATAATTATATCTATTACTTAAAATTTGAAAAAATAAAAGATGAAGAGGTGTTTTTAGCAATAACTGGTGATCCTGCTGATTATTTCAAAGTCAGTTATTTTATTTTATTTTTTGAGAAGGAGTCTCGCTCTGTCGCCCAGGCTGCAGTGCAGTGGCATAATCTTGGCTCACTACAAGCTCTACCTCCCAGGTTCATGCCATTCTCCTGCCTCAGCCTCCTGAGTAGCTGGGACTACAGGTGCCCGCCACCACGCCCGGCTAATTTTTTGTATTTTTAGTGGAGACAGAGTTTCACCGCGTTAGCCAGGATGGTCTCGATCTCCTGACCTTATGATCTGCCCACCTCAGCCTCCCAAAGTGCTGGGATTACAGGCGTGAGCCACTGCGCCCGGCCCAAAGTCAGTTATTTTGAACTATTTAAGATATTAACCTTGATCCAGACCTGCTGCCCTCACCTACAGAGGATGAAAGTGTCCAAAGTGAATTATGCAGCAGACCATTATGCTGAACCTCTAGGCATTCTGAATTGGATGCCATTTTTGATTTTCATTTTTCTCATGGTTGTTGTGTGTGTGTTTCTGTTTGCAAAAGCAATTTTGGCCCTGGAATTCCAAGCTGATCGGTTAAGACCCAGGCTGCTTTACTATCTCCTATCTTTGTTCAAAACACACAAACAAACAAAAAACAACAAAAAGAAGGAGTCATAAAGGATATGAGACTGCAGGAAGTGCTTTTAGGATAAGTAAAAATCAGAAACCCGCTGGAGACCAGGAGGGAGTCGAGCAGGCTGTTCTAGAAAGAGGCAATGGCTGGAACAAAGGCAAGAGCGTAGACATTTATCCATGATCTCAGACAAGTTTTTTTCTGCAAAACATTCAAGGAAACAAGTCAGAGAAAATGGAGTGAGGCTTGACACAGGAGGGAAATACACTGGGAGTAGGGGTGGGTGTTCTTAAGGAATTTCATTACATGCATGGCTGGTACCAGGCATCAAGCTTTATTCAAGGAATTCTAATAAGCTGTTTTTAAAGGGATTAACAATCAAATATAAGTGAGAAAGTTAACTTCTGTCTGTAGCAGAATTAGTGCTTTGAAGTGACCACCCTAATGATAATTTGCATCTTGTAAAGGAAGTCTAGTGCACTTATCAAGGACGAATTGGCATGGTTAATTTTTCAACTAAGGAATCACGTGTGAACAGCACGGAGGAGAAAATCAAATTCCTCTGGCATTCACAGCATTTCCGAATGAGTTTTCTGTAAAATACTCCCACAGGGACACAGAAGAATCAGAGAAAAGGCACTGGACTGATTCCAGCTTCCTTTCGAAATCATTGGCAACTGTCGTCTCCACCCCACCCATCCTGTATTTGGTGCAAATAAAGAACGCAGGAGCCTTGTCTCCCGCTGGGCTGTCAGTGAGGAAACGGTGGAAAGACAGATTAGCTGGGGATAATGACGGATCTGAGGCAAAGCTATTCTGTGAGGCTGAATGATGGACACTTCATGCCAGTGCTGGGATTTGGCACTTATGCTCCTGATCATGTAAGTGGACCCCAGGAGGCTGAAGTTTCTTAGGTTAGCTGTACTTGCAGGGCAATCATCAGGCAACAGCCCTGCACTTGATAGACAGTGGATGCTTGGAAGGGCTCATCTGAGCTTCCATTTAACTGTCTCTAACTTGCTCCTCTCAAGGTCACAGAGATCTTTTTTGCATTAGGTGGCATGACAAGTTATTGATTGTGGGGATTCTGAGATTGATAATTTTGTGGGTATATTATATTTATTTCTATTAAAAGTATCAATATTACCTAATATATCAAATGCCTTCCATGTATTTTAGGTGTTTTACATGCATTACTTTATTCCTTAACAACTGGCCTAGGTAAGTACTCATCAAAATTTGTTACATTTTTAAAATTCAAGTTCAGGCTGTTCTCATCTTTTGCTCTGGTCAGAGCCACTTCACTCTTGCTTAGAAACGTGAAGGGCCAAGGGCCCAGGAGGAATCAAAAGCCAAAGTGAGTACTTAGCGGCAGCTTTGCTGTGAGGTTATTGGAGCTTGGAAGTATTTGCCAGAGAGTTTCAACCATCCAAACTTTTTGCCATGTAAGAAGCCACTATGATTCTGTCATAGTCTCATCAATGTATTAAAAATATAGTAGTCTTTCATTTTGAGGGATTACCTGAAGTTTTTTGTCTTATGACTGAGAAAATTAAGGATTGTGGACACAAAGGGTAAGGTTGGAGTGAAAGTTTAATAAGTGAAAGAAGGAAGTTTTCTGGAGTAGAGAGGGGGTCTGGATGGATTGTTAACTGTGAGGTCAGGTCTAGGGTTTTGACGGACTGGGAAAGAAAAGAATTTGTCGACTGGTCTTGGAGAAAGTGTAACTCAGCTTGTCCTGACCTTGGTCTGGGACAAGTCAGAGACTGAAGTGAAAGTTTGGTCCAGCACCTTGGTCCAGGACTAATCAGGAGTTGAAGTGAAAGCTTGGCCCAGGGCCTTGGCCCAGGAGCAGTCAGATGCTGAAGTGATGATTCATAAAGGCTCATCTCACAGTCCATACGTCCACAAAAGGAAAGGAAAGTGCCCACCAGAGCCCACCATGTACAAGCCCACAAAAGGAAAAGAGACTTTACTAGAAGTCTGTTGGTTATACAAAAGACAGATGTGTTTCTCTGTTGGTTCTTGTGCTCACATTAGTGCAGTTGTTGGTATGCCTTAGGCATAAAGGACAAAGGAATTTTTATGTTGGGCCTTGTTCTTTTTTTTATGTGAGTAAGCTGGAGGTTTGTGTAAGTTTCCTTATCTGTGTGTGTAGTCTGATTTTTTTAGGCTGTTTCTCTGTTTAAAGGAGTTTTACCAGGAACTCATGCTCACCGTTTAAGTTTTTTCTCTCAGTTTTACCCTCAGGAGTGGAGTCCCTAATTGTCGTTAAGGAGATTGAGTGTTGACTTTTCTGGCTGTTTTTTGTCTGATGGTGGTGTCATGTGGGGAACAGTAGTTAGAGTTCTTCTTGGGGTTGGTTTAATGGTCTTTGGAAGAAAGATGTGTTTATGTGTGATGTTATTAGTATTATCATTTAGAGTTTGATAGTTTTTAGGTGAGAAGAAATAATTTGGGCTATTAGAGTACATGTATTAAAATGAAACAAGGGGGGATAAGGATGGTTTAAAAATTCTGAGGTTGTTGACATATCTTGATAATTGGTGGTTATAGTTATGTCTGTTACGACTTTGGTGTATGGAGCTTGGTTTTGGTTAATTTTTTTGGTCTTCTTTTCTCAAATAAACTGCTGGATTATGGGTATTCTATATATTCTTATGACCTGGTAGGATTTGTAGGATAATTGTTCAGAACTAGAATATTGTCCTAAATTTTATATTATTTATCTTTTTCTGTTTTTATTTTTTGTGGTAGTCAGAGATTGTTGGTTCATAAGAATAAGTAGGGTTAGTCTAAAATGTAGGTAAACATTTAAAAGTAATTAGTGAGACTAGAATTTAATGACAACTGGTAAGTTTTGACACACTATTTCTCTCTCTCCAGTTCTTATTTTTGTCAAAAACAAATCATGATAGGATAGGACTGAGTTGTTTGTAAAATAAATTTTAGTTTCATATTTGGTGATTATTTGTGTAAAGAGTAGTAAAAAAATTTTTTTCTGAGACAGAGTCTCGCTCTGTTGCCCAGGCTGTAGTGCAGTGGCATGATCTTGACTCACTACAACCTCCGCCTCCCAGGTTCAAGAAATTCTACTGCCTCAGTCTCCCAAGTAGCTGGGACTACAGGTGCATGCTGCCATATCCGACTAATTTTTTGTATTTTAGTAGGGACAGGGTTTCACCATGTTTCCCAGGCTGGTCTCGAACTCCTGAGCTCAGGAAATCTGCCCGCCTCGGCCTCCCAAAGTGCTAAGATTACAGGCATAAGCCACCATGCCTGGCCTTAGAATAATTATTTTTATATACTATTTTAAAATTGGTTTTGATGGAATTCTATTCCATAAGTAACCTCAGATAAGACCTCAGTTTAAAGTTGAGTCTAGTCATGGGTTTATACTCTCAAATATTTATGAGTTGGGTAAATTCTTCTCTTTTTGAGGTCTCAAGAACATGGGGTTCTTGGGCCTGTTAGAAAGTGACATTCTTTACTTACTATAGGTTAGGAACTCTGGGAACTGCATAGACAAGGCATGAGGCCAGTTTTTCTAAGAGGTTTTTATTGGTTTTGGAAGTTAAGTTTGATTCTTCAAAGGGAAATATATCCTTCTAGTCAAAGTCTTGGTAAAATAATCATTTTTAAAAATTGTGTCTTGTTGTAAAAGAAAATGGATTTTTATTGTACTGATGTAAACAATTGTATTGTTATAAGTCTAGAATATTTATAATTAGTTTCTGAATTTTAGAGGAACCAGCTAGAGATAAATAAATATGTTTTAAATTTTGTTCACAGAAGTATATGTTACTCAACTGTTAAAAGTTGTAGTTAGTTCAAAAGTTTTTTTGACTCTGAAAAAAACAAAATGATGATCAGTAATTTTTTAAGTAAAAAAAAGGATTACTTCAGTTTTCTAGTCTATTTGGTTAACTCTTGTTCTGTTTGATATTTATAAACACTAGTTTTTTGTGAGTCTTATATGTTTTTTGTTATTAGAAAGTTGTATTTGAGAGTACTTGTTAAAGTCTTATAGTTGATTATAAATCATCTTTTGAAGAGGATTAAAACAAGATAACAATTGCATGTGAATGACAAAATTTCCAGGGTAGTTGTAGTTAAGAATATGATTGACAAAGTAATTTGGTTATTTCTGTGGTTTACAATAGTTTAACATAATAACCTTAATTACGGTTGACAGTATATATTTAGACATTTTATATGATTTTGGAACATATATTAATATTTACTGAAATATAACTTGAGGAAGATTAAATATCATTTTGGCAATCTCACATATTTAAATATATCAAGTGATCCTGTTTACTTTTTTGGAATTGTTTTAGGGGCCTTCTGTAGTTAAACATTAGGGGTCAGGGAAGACAATCTTGAAACTCAAGCTTGATTTTCGGAAGCCTGTTGAATATGTTAGAGTTTAAAAACTACTTGATATTATGAAATAAAATTTCAGATTACCATAAGTCATTTGCTTTGTTAAAATGATGATTCAAAAATTTAAAAAAGTAAAAACTTTTTATTAGTCTTTATTATGACATGAAAATCTTGTTCAAAAGAAAGTCGAATTTCACCCTTTTATTAGTTTATTATTAATGTCAATCCCAATTTTAATGAAACTTTATAGATAATTCTATTTAATCATAACCGATTTGACCATGAGGTGAGGTCTTTATAAACCTTTAATAATTCTTTATACATTTTATTAAAGATTAGATTAGCTTATTAAGAAAACCTTGTTGTGTTTTTATTTCAATGTTCAATTTATGAAAAAAAGTAATATTTTTGAATTTAGTTAATAGGTTTACATAGAGTGGTTTTGTAAAATTTTTATAATTTTTCACAACTTGTTTTAGTTAATACGTTTAGAGAGTGGTTTTGTAAAATTTTTATAATTTTTCACAACCTGTTTAATCTTTCAGTTTTATTTTCTTTAAGACAGCCGTGTATTCCTAGGCCAAATTTATATTTTTATGTCTTTTTATAATTTTTTATTGAAAACACTTTTTACTGTTTTTACATACTTTGTATGTAAATTTATTTTTATAGTCTCAATTATATGTCATAATTCTTAGTAATTTTTAACTTTAATGTAAAACCTGGTAAGTTGTTTTAGTGATGTATTAGGCATAAAATCTGACTTTTTCTTGTATAGTTAGAGGTGTGGTTATTACTATATGTCCTCAGGTCTTATTAATTGTGAAGTAGGAAAGTCAAACAGTTTTTAAAGGTCAAACAAGTAGTTTGCCATCTTAAAATATTTAGTAAATTTAGTATATGACTTGTATAATGTATACCACATATTTATATCTTGAAGACATTTGTATTTTATCAATACTTTTTAAGACTTTTAATTTTGTAAAGATTAAAGTCATGTGAACTAAGAAGCATTATAACTTTTAATTTGCCTTCAAAAATCTTTTTTTAGGTCAATTAATTAGAGTTTTTTTTTATAGACATCACATACCTAACATATATATGACTATATAGACAGAAGAAGATCTAGTAGTTGTAAGATTTTCCGTTTGTCAATCTTCTAATTGGATTATTGGTCTCAGGATGGAGATTTTTAAGAAAAGGGCTAGGAAAATATGCATTTTCTAGGGCCTAATAAATAGGTGTAGTTGAAAGAAAAAATAGATTTTGAGAGGCATTTACCTGTCTCTAATTCTTTGGGTTCCACAAGGAAAACAGAGATTTCTCTCAAAATGGAATTTGTTGTGTGTGTGTATATGGTGTTTTAAATTTTTTTCCAAAGGAGTCCCAGGTCATCAGAAGTCATCTTAGGGCCTTTTATGTATGTATTAAGGGTGGTAAGACAGAGTCGAGGAAAGTAATTTAGTTGACTGAGAATAAAATCTTTTCCGGAAAAACAAGATCTAAGAAAACTATAAAGGCCTTTTAAATATACCTATAGTTTCGATCTCAACCATTAGTTGAGTGTTCTTTAAGAAAATTATTTTTCATTAATTAAAATTTTACAGAGACTAGAAACAGTGATGCTTATTATTCTTTTTATTGGTTTGTATAGGGAGAGAGGCCAAAAGTCTGACTGGATTTTTTTTTTTTTTTTAATCATTTTGTCGGTATGTCTGGCTTTTGGGTTTTCTAGGGGAGTTTTTCTTGAAGTCTTTTTTGGCTGTATAAGTTTGTACCACTATTTGTTTGTAGTTGTGTTCAGGTTTTCTAGTTTCTTCTCGGGTGAATCCCCTCTGTATTCTTACACCTTTGCATCCGCTTCTTGCTTGTCCTAACGCTCTTGCCCAGTGGTGCCTCCTGCCTCCAAGCCTTCAGTCCCAAACCCCACTCCTCCTCAGTCTCCACCTATTACCCATTCAAAAACCATCTCTGCCATTCTCCCTCTCTCTGAAAAGTGGCTGGGGGTTAAAGGCATTGCTTGCATTCATGTTCCTTTCTCCATGTCTGATCTGTTGCAGATCAAAGTTGTAAGTATATTCAAAAGTCTTTTATATTTTTCTCTTCAGTCTTGTTTTCCTGGAAAAAGGTTTTTTTCCCAGTTAACTGAATTACTTTTCTCCATTCTGTCTTGCCACTCTTAGTGCATGAATAAAAAACCCTAAAATGACTTCTGGTAGCTTGGGACTCCCTGGGAAAATAGAAAAGTCACCACAAATCTCATTTTGGAAAAATTCTCCGTTTTCCTTATGGAGCCCCTGGAATTGAAGGTAAATAAGTATCTCTCGAAATCTTTGTCTTCCAGCTATGCTTGCTTATTGGGCCCTAAAAATTGTTTTCCTAGCCCTATTCTTAAAGGGCCTCATCTGGAGGCCAATTATCCAATCAGGAAATTAACAAATGTAAATTTTATAACTACTAGATCTTCTGGTTGTCTGTGTGGATATATGTGTGTTATGTGTGCAATGTCTATTAAAAGAGCTCTAATTAATTGTCCTAAGGAAAATAAGCACCTAAATATTTTTAAGGAAAAAGTTAAAGCTGTGGAACCTTTCAGTTCACGTGACTTTGATCTTTAAAACTTACTTGTACAGTAAAATTAGAAATGTCTTAAGAGTTGCTAGCATACATTTTTGTTTGCATTTATTAAGCAATTTCATACTTATCTCTGCCAAATACTATAAGGTGTCAAAATTTGGCATAAAGGCTACAAAACTATAACTCAGCCCAAACAAAATAATGTTTGTGTATTTTTTAATAAATAAAAATTAATATTAATTTAATGAAAATAGCTACATCTTAAACTATTTAGTAAAATATCCTTACTGGTTGTTTTTTTTTTTTTTTTTTTTTTTTGAGATGGAGTCTTGTTCTGTCACCCAGGCTGGAGTGCAGTGGCGCAATCTCGGCTCACTGCAAGCTCTGCCTTCTGGGTTCACTCACGCCATCCTCCTGCCTCAGCCTCCCAAGTAGCTGGGACTACAGGCGCCTGCCACCATGCCTGGCTTTTTTTTGTATTTTTAGTAGAGATAGGGTTTCACTGTGTTACCCAGGATGGTCTCGATCCCCTGACCTCATGATCCGCCCGCCTCGGCCTCCCAAAGTGCTGGGATCACAGGCGAGAGCCACCATGCCCCGCTAAAATATCCTTACTTTTAATCTTGTGGCCCTAGGCAGTCTAGTCCACAGACATGAAGGAAGTTTGTTTTTGGAAAGAACTGTTATCTTTAATATTTTAAAAAAGATAATTTATATTTAAAAAATCGTATATGGCAAATTCTTGTCCTAAAGTAAATTAACTGGTTATTTAAAGAAAGGAATGTTTACAAGTCAAAAATTAATGCATATCAGAAATTGACTGTGAAGGTCATGAAAAATTTTATAAAAGGGATTTTATGCAAGAAACATTGTACAATTTAAAAGTAATTAGGCCTCATAAATGCTTTGTAAAATTCCACTGTAACTCTTAGCTGTACAACTTGCCTGCTTTGCAGCTAAGTAAAACCTAGGACACATGAAGTTAAATGGTGGAATAAGTCAGACCTTATCTGCACTTCTCTCTGGGTCCTAGGCTCTACACCTAGTACAGAATTAAAATCTCAAACTTATGAAGGTTTTCAACAAAAGTAAAGGTTGCTAAAACTTAACAGCATAACATGTATTTAAAACTATTGAAGAAACGTTTTATGTGCAAGGTGTGTAAGAAAAGTAAAATATACTTTTGGTAAAAAGATTATTAAGGAGGTATGAGAATGTGGATTTTTATCTCCATTAAAAGGTTAAAGAATTGTTTTAAGGCTTAAGCAAGTTTTGAGAGGTTAATTGTAAAGGAAATTCTGTGTGTAAATGTATTGGCTAAGGTTAAAGGGGCATCATCCAGTTTTTCTGTAAATTGAGCATTAAAATAAAAGCACAATGGTTTTTTCTTAAAGCACTAACCTGCTCTTTAACAAAAATTATAAAGGGTTAAAAAGAGTCTATAGAACTCTTACCTTATGCTCAGACATTAAAATTGGGTAAATATGTATACAAGGTTTTATTAAAAATTAAGTTTAAAATTAATAGCACACTAATATAAAAGTAAAGTTTGGCTTATTTAGTATAAAATCATGCAGAAAGCATTGTCAAATATAAAATGGTGTTTAGCTTTCTTTGGGCTATATTTATATAAATATATTGTATGTGTCCCAAAGTTATAGGAAATGCCTATAATTCCATGTACCTTAGTGTATCTATCTTATCAGTAATAATTATAATTGTTATGTTAAAATTATTGTGTGCTGCAGAGGTAACAGATATCCTTGTCAATTGTGTCTTAAACTATGGCTACCTTAAAACTTTTTGTTATCCATAAGCAATTGTTGCCTTGCTTTGGTCTTCTTCAAAAGGTGGTTTTATAATCAGCTATAAAGCTCTAACAGGTACTCTTAAATGCAGGTTTCTGATAACTTTGGAGAATTGTAACATCAAAATAAAGGAAAAATGTTCAGGACTTTTAAAGAACTAAAATGTTAATGTTGAACAGGACAGGAATTAGCTGCATAAATTAAATTAATAAGAAGCTAATCTTTTTAACATTTTGCTTAAAATATTGCTAATCTTTTGTTTTGCTTTTCAAAGTCAAAGAAATTTTTCTTTTGAGCCATTAACAACTTTTAACAATTTAGTTTACTCCCGTAAACAAAATTTGGAACATACTTGTTTCACTCTACCTGATTGTCTCCAAAATTTGGAAATTATCTGTGAGTATTCTTAAGTTATGGCAATATAGTTATTTGTATAAGTGCAATAAGAATCTGTTTTCTTTTGTAACAAGACACAATTAGAAAAACTGGTTATTTTACCAAGGCTTTGACTGAAATGGTGTGCTTTCCTTTAAGGAATCAAACTTAACTTATGAAGCCAATGAAGCCCTTGGAAAACCGGCATCATATTTTGTCTACAGAGTCCCTGTACAGGGTTTCTGATCTGTGGTAAGTAAAGAATGCCACTTTCTAGCAGGCCGGGAGCCCTAAGTTATCTTGTGATCTCAAGAGAAGAGAAATTCACCAACTAATAGGTATTTAGTGGTACAAATTCATGAATGGGGTTGGGTTTAAAAAGGCCTTATCTCACATTCCTTCTATGGAACAAAGTTCCATAAAAGCCAATTTAAAAGGCCTATGTAACAAATAATTATTCTTGCTGCACTGTATGCAAATAATTAAGACAAGTATAATAAAGCAAACCAATCCTACCATAATTTGTCTTTTAATAAAAATGGGAAACTGAAGAGAGAAAATTATGTTTCAAAAACAATAGCACACCTGTTGTTAAATTGTAGTGTTGTGTAATGTTTTTCAATTTTTATTATTTTCTACTGTTTTAAATTCTATGTTTTCTGGCTACAAGTTTCTAAAATAAGCTATCCTTTCTTAAAGTCCTGTAAACTGAAAAGTAGATGTTTCAGCAGGTGCTGCCTCTGAGTCCCCCGACCATCACAAGAGGAAATCTCTTCACTGCTGGTGTCATCAACTAATAACTAAGGGTGTCTGGAATCCTTTGTCCCCATGTCTAGTGAGTCCATGGAACCCAGGGTAATTAAGATGGTGCCTGTTACAGGAATCAACTCCTAGATACATCACACTCAGGTCAAAACCTGGAAAGCTAAGGAAGCAACCCCTGACAGCCCAAAAAATGTCCTAAATATCACTGTAAACAAATAAGAAATCTTAAACTGAAAATCATAAAAAGTAAGTAACTAAGTGAAAATTACTCATCTTACTCAGCCTCAACCCTACCTCACCAAATACTTTTTGTTGTTGCTACCTCTCCTTTAAAGCTAAATATTAAAACTTTTTAATGGAAATTATTTACTATGCTACCCTTGTGAGAACTGCTTTACTCATTCTGCTATTTAGTAGGACTATATACTGTAGTACCCTCAGGATGGAATGTCTGATAGACAATCTCAGTTACCGTAGTATTTTACTTAATAACTGTTATTCCTGCTATGAGGATAATAACTAACAAAAAAATAACACATGGCTCTTTCCAAATATGTGCCTCCGACTGTCATTAAGAAAAAAATGTTACTTCTGTCTCAACCATCAGGCCTAATAAGAAATGCTGCTAAAAAGAACTAATGTTTTTACACAGCTTAATTAATCTTTTTCAAAAGTTTTTAACAGAATCATGGCCATTTCATAGACAACTACCCAGAAACATCTACAGACTGTGTTGCTCCTGCAGTCAATCCAACACCAAGAAACTCTCCTCCGCCCCCCAGTAGGAAGTAGCCAGAAACAACACATCACCCTTTGTCCTTTTATAACTATAGGGTCTGGAATTATTGAACAGGAGCACCATCATCTCGGACAAACACCACCACTTTAAATTCCAGCTCCCTTTCTAGCCATATGCATTTTAAGGAAATCACTTCTCTACTACAAGTAGCCAGAAAGAGCAGACAGTAAAACACAGAAAAGACAGCTCAGACACAGGCGGAGGTGGGGGGAGAGTCTCTTGGGTAACTGCCAAACTTCACCCTCATACAACGGGCCCCAGTAAAACAGTGGGCCTTAATAAGTGAATTCCTTTTCCTTCAGGTGCACTAAGATAGGGAAGCTAAAAGCAGACTCCAGGGATATGCCTGCAGCTGCAGAAAGATGTATGGGAACAGGCACACAACTCTCCCTCCCACATGAGCACAACGAAGAAACACAGAAGCAGTCCAAGCCTCTGATCAACTCTCCCACTGTGAATCCTTAAAAACTCTTAGTCTGTAAAGAGAGCAAACCTCTGACCTAACTCAGCCAGAAGGCACCTCTCAGATTTGTTTTCTCTAAAATAAATCTGTCCAGACTGGCAAGGCATCTTTTCATGTTTCTTTTGTGTTTTTTTCCTCTTTCTTTAATTCTTACACCCCCTATTAGAATTAAGTGGTTTAGAAAAATATTGGGTTAAAGTCTTTCCTGAGACGCCCATAAGAGTTGTGTTATGGGGGGAGGGGAGGCCTGGACTGGAGAGGAGAATAGAGAGACTGGCTTCAGAGTTTTGAACGAAATCTACTTTTTTTCCCCTTTTATTGTTAGCATCACCTGGGGCCCCCTGGGTAGTGATGGCAGATTGAGTCATTGGAGTAGGGGAATTGAGTCCTGGGACCCATCAATCTTGTTGGACTATCTGGGAGACTGGCCCTGGACTCAGAGACCTGTGTCTCCAGGGACAGTCCACCTTCCAGTGGTCACCACACGTTGGACAGGGTTGAGATGACTTTTTGTTGCTATGACAGTTCTTTTTAAAGTGTCCTGACTTGTCGTACTGGTAGTAGTTAGTAGGTGTACCTGGGGATCTTGGATTTTATAGGCCTGTAATGTGGTCACTCGAGTCTCTGTCCTTTTTTTTGTATGTTTCCTCTCCTTCTCCTGGCCCCACTCCTCTTGGTCCCTATTGTAAAAGACTAAAGTAGTTAATTTCTGGAGTTTCTCTAGGGTGTTATTTGGACCTATGGCCTGTTTTTGTAGTTTCCTTTTGATGTCAGTGGTTGTCTGAGTAATGAATTTGTCTTTTAAGATTCATTGTCCATCAATTGAATCAGGAGATAGGGAGGTGGGTTTCACTAAAGTCTATCTCAGCCTTCCCATAAAGACTGAGGTATTTTCATCTGTTTTTAGATTCAACGTGCACATTTTAGAGTAATTAAGAGATTTGGTTCTGATTTTTTGTAAGTCTTTTAATATGTACATCAGAGAGTGCTTTCTTTTTCACACCTCTGTGGGATCACTAGAACTCTAATTATGGTTTTCAAGGGACGTTGTCTCCCTTCTTATCGGGAATGGGGATCTTGTCTCTTTTTCATTCTCTTTCCCCTTTTTACTGGTTTTCTTTTTCAGCCAGTTATAGGAGATATGTTTTCATCTCTGAAACTCTGTTGTTTGCAGAGCTCTCTGTTTCTCAGTAGTTAGGGTTTGGTTCAAGAGTAACATAACATCTCTCTATGTAAGATCAAACACTTAAGTTAGATTTTGGAAAGCCTTTATATATCTGTCAGTGTCATCAAATAACTTGCCCAGGTCTCCCTCTATTTGTTTAAAGTCTTGTAATGAAAAAGGAATCTAAACTGTAGTGGTACCATGACTATCAGGCATTTCTTGTAGGGATAGTAGTGGATTCGGGGGTTTGGGTGGTAGAACTGGAGGAATTGATGATTATCTGACTACAGAGGCTCTGTGAAGTGGGGACAAGGGCTGGGACACCTGGGAGTTGCATTTCAGGGTTTTCTGGGGGTTCTTTTCTCTGACTTTGGGGAGTTGTCTACTGTGGGCTTGTCTGATGTAACTGTTAAGAGGGCAGGGTCAATTTTATAATGCTTACAAAGATCTGGGTTGTTTTTCAGGGCAAAGAAGGCTTGTACATAGGAAACTTCAGACCATTTCCTCTCCTGTCTGCAGAAAAGATCTAGTTGTTGGATAGCGTTAAAATTAACACTTTTCTCAGGAGTCTAGGCCTGTCCATCCTAGAGTTGGTAAGAAAGCCATGTCCTTGTGTATAAGAATTTGAGTCTTTTTTTCAGTCTCAGGGTCAAAGGAATCTCAATGCTTCAAAATGCACTTGAGAAGAGTGCAGGCTGAAGATGGTTTGTTACTCATCTAGAAAAGGGGAGGAGAAAAGATGTTCCTTAGTCTCTTTCTTCTTTTTAGAGTGACCCAGGGTGGAGAGAAAGAAAGAGTGTCTCCCTTTTCCTCTTTTCTCTCATCCTCCAGGTCCCAGTGACTGTTATAGGAGTCACCCATGGATGCAAATGTTACCTTCACCCATAGATCTGAACAAGTTAGTCATTAGGAATAGTCATGTTCACTTGTATGAGGTACTAGTTCTCTGTCTTTCTAGGTTTCTTAGACCATAAGCCTCCCTGGGGGAACCCTAGGTGTCTGAGAGACATTGTACAGTAGTTGGATTTGGGTAAGACCCTTTAATGAAGGGAGCGTTTTAACCTCATCTCTGTCTTTTCTAGCTATGGTGCTGGTAAAGCATTGAATTTCTAGAGAATGGGACTGATTGACTATTAAACATAAAGTACTCCTTTTTGTTTAAATGTCAGTGTAACTGGATGTAGAACAGGTGTCTCAAAAGAACCTGAGGATTGAATGGCTGTCCTCCCTCTAATGGGGACAGCACTGAGGCTAGAATTTGTTTCTCAAGGGAGGTTTCTTTCTGATTGTTGAAAGTGGTGTATTTCTGTTCACAGATAGGGTATGAAGTTTGATCATGTTAGAGGGACATAGGAGAGAGAGGAATTAGGAAACCAGAGGTTTTGAGCAAAGGGCTGACAAGGCTCCCCATGGAGAAAAAAAATGCCATCCCCCTAGGTGGTGTTGTAGGGTCTGAAATGTTAGGTAAAAACTCTGACTCCAAATTTTTTGCAGGCAGAAGTTAGAGGTCAGAGGCATAATAGGCTGTTCCTGTATGTCTCACAGTGGAAAAAAAATTAATTAGTCTCATAAAGCAACCGTTAAAATACATTGGGCAGTGGTGAATTTTTACATGGAGGAAAGACAACCCAAATGGAGAGGGAGGAAGGTATTCACTCATGGTGAAATGACCCCCTATACAGTGTCATGAATGTCTATCAGTAGGGACAAAAAGATCCTTATTAGGTGAAAATTTAGACAGAAATGTTGAATTCCGCTTGTTTCTAGGGAATCACAAAAACAGTACCTATTTGAATTACATTCCTGATTACTACAACACTGGCTGAGTTTACCCAACAAGAATATATTCACAGCTTGTAAAAATGCTATAACATTGTCTACGAAGAAGGAACAGAAGACATGACAGCCATGAAAAGAGAGAAAGAAAATGCAATAGGAAAGGCTATAAGTTCTGGTGCCAAAGCCCTGATAAGCTGTTGGGAACTGGAGTTAGTACAGGCACCTTCAGGTAACATTGAGGTGTAGCCTCAGCCAGAAACTTTGTTGTCTTAGGACCTCTGAAAGTTTGCATGCATGCAACAGCTAGGTCTTCCGTGAAAGAAAACTGGAATGGAACAGAGTCAACATTCCCAACACCTGAGGATGATAGGGATTGACAAAGTCCTCTCCAGGAAGCCTGTCCCCTGAGTCTTGTAAGACTGGCAGCTGCCCTATTCACTGACAGGGGCCCAGTGTTTTGTTTGCTCTTGAGAGAAAAAAAAAAATCTGAA